TGGCACCGGAGAGCGTCCCGGGGACTCTCACGGGGGTAGGACGGGGGCTCATCGCAGGTTTGAAGGAGTGACATGTACCTGTGCCTAGCGCAACGTGGTGTGCCGAGGGCAGTACCTGGCACCAGGAGTGTGCTCTGCCCCGGACGGCTCACCCTCCCATTTTCCCGTGTTTTTCTTTGCTTTCTGTTTGTACCAATAGACTAACAAAAAACCCGGCAAAACCGGGCTAAGCCCCTTGCACCGAGAGGACGTAGCCCCTGGGAAAACCAGGTCCTCTCCAGCGGAGAGACACCCAGCCCCAGCCAGGTCTGGGCTGACCCTCGGTTGCGGGACAGGCTGGGAGCACCGCGGAGGGTTGGGCTTGGTGTGACTGTCGCAGAGATCTGCCCTTTGTGTGATGGCACCTTCCCCTGTGCCGCAGCTGCTGTAGTGCCTGAGCAGTGGGAGCTGCATCGCACCTTGGCTGGACTTTGTCTACTAGCAAGACCTTCCCAACCTCTGACTGTCCAATGCGATAGTGCCCTGAGGATGGGGTCAGGGGAGTGGTTGGGGGTCAGCAGGACTCTGTCTGCTGGCTGTGGCCAGGAGATAATCTGAAGGGCAAGGGATGGGATGGCCTCCACTGCCAGCCTCATTCAGGGGTTTCTCTGAGCCGCAGAGGTTCCTGGAGTATTGGTTTTCTCCAGGCACAGCATGCAAGATGTCGCAATAACTCTGTTAGGTGTGCGACAGGTGTGCACCAGCACGAGAGGCGCTGGTTCTGTCAGGAAGTGACTGAGTAGGAATTGGGCAGGTTACAACTCGCCAGGTTGGACTCTGCTGCCCTCTCCTCCCCCAGCAGCACAGCACTTAGTTCACGCTTCCCGGGCTCACGGGAGTTATTGTGTACTGTGGTTCACAGGAAGCTGTGACTGTTCTCTAGCACCTCAGCACCTTGTGAGATCAAGCTGGGGTCTGATTTTTTTCAGGCATTTGCACATCTTAAAAACCATTCTGGTACTGTTGCTAGTGTTTGTCTGTGCCTGGGCGAGGAGATTGGTGTTCTAGTTCCCACCAACCCTGTGGGGTGTTGGCCTGGCACCAAAAGTCACTGGTCACTGCACCACAATTAAAACATACCATTATAATCCATGGGAACACTGCCCTTGCAGTCTCTTTGGCTCTGCAAAGTCAAAACTTAACTCAGGCTTGCTCTCTTAATCCTGCCCTGGGGTGTGCAATGCATCCTTGTGCCCACGGGAAGGAGAGTCCATCAGAGCCATGAATAGGGTCTTACAAAAGCCTGCACTTTTGTAATAAAGGCCAGATAAAGGGGCAATTAGCAATGTTCTGTGTTCAGTGGAAACTGGTGCATATAATAGCAGCATTTGAGATGTATAAAGCTCTGTTGCCCAACTCCTTTCTTTCCTTGAGAATTGTTCTTATGAATCGGAAAGGCCATGATATTTGCGAGGAGCTGAAAAAAAAAAAAGCCCCCTCCAACCCCCCAGCTTGGGGGCAGCTCCCAGCACAAAGGGCAGTGGGGGCCAGGGCTGAGCAGCCACAGCAGCCCTGGGATGCTGCTCTGCCTTTCCTCCGTCTGGCACGTGCTACTGATCTGACCGCTGTTCTCTCTTTCCCAAATTGTTTTCCAGTTGCCTTCCTGTCAAAGCCTCAAGGCCTGGTAACTCCCAAGAAGAAAGGGAACGGGAATAAAAGAAGAAAAGGCAAAGGCCTGGGGAAGAAGAGAGACCCATGCCTGCGGAAATACAAGGATTTCTGTATTCACGGCGAGTGCAAGTACATCCGAGAGCTGGGAGCTCCCTCTTGCATGTGAGTTGCTGGCGTGTGCCTGTGCCGGGGGAGCCTTAGTCACGGTTCCTTCAATTCTCTGAGCTGGGCAGAGGAAAAGCAGAGGAGATATTTTTAGTGCATGATCCCCATCTGTGCAGAGATGGCTCTGACTCGGCCTCTTCCTTGTGCTTCTCGAGCAATGTCCATCCCCCACCAGAACCTGTCACAGCCCTGGACTCCTTCCCTGCCTGCACGGTGAGCTCTGGCTGAGCTGCTGTGCAGGGATCTGCAGTGCTGGGGGCTGCAGAACGGTGTGCAGGGCTGGGGTCTGGCAGCCAAGGGCTTCTGCAGGTCTGGTTTGGGAGGCTTCATACTGACCTTGTCACCCTGCATCACCCTGTCCCTTGCTCTGAGAGTTCAGGGCTCCTGTGGCTGGTGGGGTGTACTGGGGCAGGCAGAAGGAGCATCTCTGCCATGGCCGCAGCCAAGGTGGATTGCAGGTTCACCATTTGCCAAAGCCATGCCCAAGCTGCCCCTTGGCCATGATAGACAGGGCTGTGTATCCCCATTTGCCCACCCTCCTGGGGTGCAGGTAGAGAGCAGGGACTAGACAAGGCAAGTGGAAGAGAAAGCATTTGCCTGCTGCCGTGGCACCTGGGTACAGCACTGCTGCCATGGGAAATACCCAGGGGTGCACATTTGATCCCTGCTGACGTGGGCTGGAGTTGAGCTGGCAGATATGTAAGAGGCTTTGTTCTTTACTATCAATCCTCTGAGCCACCCAGCCCTGAGCCCAGGGAAAATAATAGCTCCGTGGCTTATGGTGCCCACAGGATCTTGTGCCCTGGAATCTGCAGGGATCAAGCTCCACAGAGCCCTCTAACCCCCTAGCTTCTCTCTGTGGAAGCTATCATGAAGTTGGGCTCTTGCATGGAGGACTCGGGGCTGCCAGTGAGGGGAGATCTCTGCTGGCTCTGCTGTGACCCAGTACACTGTGGGATGCAGCACCCCTGCTGGGACTGGGACAGCCAAGTGTCCCCTGCCCAGTCTGATCAGTGGGGCTGGGAGAATCCCTGGGACATGGGCAAGCAGGAGAGGTTTGGGGGCTGGCTGGGGCTCTCCAGCCTGGTGGCCCATCTCTAGTTGACATCCCCTAGAGCCATCATGGTTTTTGGGAACAGCAACCAGCTGCCCCAGTCCCCTCTGATAAAGAGACTTTGTGTTGACTGGTGTCATTCAGTTGTGGCTGCTCTTGGTGGCTGGCTGCCCATCTCACAGGGTCTCCTGGAGTGCTGCTTCCTTGGGCTGGTCTCCAGGGTACAGAGTGGGTGAGGATGCTGCTGGGCTGGGTCCTGCACATCTGCCTTGTGCCCAGCCTTACTGCTGTGCCTGGGAGCTGATGCTGGCATGTGGCATTGTGAGCCTGGGAGGAGGGCTGGGCTGAGACCCAGCTTGGAGACCAGCCCAAGGGTCAGTGGTGCTGGACATAGAGGGATATATATATATATCTAGTCACATCAGTGTGCTGTGGCTTGGGGAGGGCTGGAAGCCTCACAGCCCTGTGAGGAGCGTTATTTCTGTTACATGAGTAACCTCTCGAGTTTGCAGGGAGGGGTATGGCTCTCCTACAATTGCCCTCTTGGCTGTCAGGGTGTGTGTGGACATCCTGCTCCATGGGAAGCACTGGGCCCTGGGCCAGCTGCCTTGCTGCTCCCTTCCCACTTCCAGGAGTGGTCTGAGCAGCCTGGGGATGACTGGGAAGAGCACGGACCCTGGTGCTTTCTACTGGGAGGAGCTCAACCTTTCTAGGAGTCTTCATTTGATACAGGAGAAACTTAATTTACCAGTACCAGGGAGGTGATGGTTACACCAGACCTCCCAGCTGGAGGGTTGCAGGGACCAAGGGGAACAGGCAGGGTGCTGGCTAAGGCTGAGCACATAGGCATCTCCTTGCCATGGGGTGTGGGGGACACAGTGATCTCCTGTGCTTGTTCACCACCATTTAAGACTTTCCTTCTCTCCTAGATGCCAGCCAGGGTATCATGGAGAGCGCTGCCACGGCCTCTTGCTGCCGGTGGAGCACCCGCGCAGTGCCTACGACCACACCACAGCACTGGCAGTTGTTGCTGTTGTCCTGTCCTCCCTGTGTCTCGTCATCATCGCAGCCCTGCTGATGCTCAGGTGAGTGGGATGGATCTGAGCTCTCAGATCCATATCTCTGGGAATACCATGTGCAAGAGGAGGGTGGCAGAGACTTCTCCATGCCCTGAGCATCCCTTTGCTTGGCCTCACAGGTGTCACAAGAGGGGTGGCTACGATGTAGAAAACGAAGAGAAAATCAAGCTGGGCATCACTGTGAATCACTGAGGATGCCAGGTGCTGGCGAGGTGAGTCCTTGGCTGGGCATGGGGCAGCAGTGGGGCTGGTGGGCACCTGGGAGCTCTGCTGTTCACACAGGCTGTGGCTGCTATGCAGACCCTGTGCCAGAGCCAGGCAGGAGCTGAAGGCAACCTGAGCCTGGAGGAGCAGCTGGTCAGATTTGGCCTGAGAGCCTGGGCTGCTCTGTGGGGCTCCAGCCTTCTTTCTTCCCTTTCCCACTCAAGTCCCTGTCTCCTGACACCCTCCCACCCTGCTACCTCCTCCTTTCTAACCCCAAGTCCCTGCCCTGCCCCAGTGCTCTATACTTTGTAGATGTTTGGCAGTGGGGAAGCTGTTTCTGTTTTGTTTTTTTTTT